TTTTTATAAACTATTAATAAAATGTTTACGGGTCACAATATTTTGCGACTCCCCTGTTACACAATACAGTGATGAAATACAATGTTTAAATAATGTACTATTACTTAGTCAAATTGGAACCATTAGATTGTAATTTTTGAAATGTTTATATATACTATAAAAACAAATACCCGCCCGACTCTAGTTATTAATTAAAGTATAGGCCCTAGTCCAATTTGATAATGAGCTCGTTTATAACTCTTTCTTGAGTTTTGGACTAATAATGATAAATTAACATTTTCATTAACTTGAAAGCTATGTTAGATCTATGGCCAATATATCTATTATGATAGAAAGTCAAAAGTGAAATTGCCACAACCATAAGATAAGGGTAATTTAGATCTACAGCTAGCTCCATTCACATATCATATTAAAGGTGAATCTTAATAAAATTTAAATTTAAATATATCCATTGTCACTTAATCTATTATATTAAAAGAGAAGTCATGACTCACTTATGTGTGATATTTTAGTTTGGACCATCTTTAGAGTTTTATAAAATTTTACATAACATTATAATATATTTTCATATCTTTAATTTTTGTTTGAAATACAAATAAATAGTTTTAAGAAAATTCTAAAAAAATCTTTTTAAAATCTTTTAGAATCTTTTTCAAGATATAGTTTCAAAAATTATTTAATTAAAATTTTAATTATCATAAAATATAATTAAAATTTTAATTCATTTTTAATTCATAAACAAAAAATTAAAATTATGTAAAATACTTTTAACAATATCCCAAAATTTTGTTTATGTATTATGTAGGTCCAACTTAATTAATTTTTACATAGATTTCAAATTTAAAAATAAAACAAAATATATAAATTAGTAATCTTAATAATAATATTTTAAAAAATTATTACAAAAATAAAAATTTATAAACTTTATATTAATAATATTATAAGTCACATAAAAATGATTATGAAATTGGATAGCATAAAGAATCAAATTATACTTATTTATTGATAAATTTTATTATATAATTTCAAATATTTTCGTATTAAAATATATGCACGGTTGTGCGGGTCGAAATCTAGTTACTAGTTAAATTTCAAATACAATTATCAAAACTTAAAATCGCAAAATTTGACTAAATAAAAATACACTTGAAAAAAAGCACAGATTAAATATTTAAATTAATTATGCATGTAATAAATATTTATTAAGATTGAAAATTTTGAGTTTTGGTTATTTATCCAGGCTTAAGTTCTGATTTTTGTATCGTTGGAATTGTGAAAACTCATGTCCAATTAATTATTGTCTGATTATTATGAAATTGTTTACTTTAGGTATAAGAAGCTAGTCCCATAAATTTATTTTCAGATTCTTATCTAAAAAATTTCGTACGAATTACAATTGGATTTCTATTTATATATTAGAGACTTATCATCTAAACTTCCAATGAGTGAAGTAGTTTGATATCTCACAAATATAATTATTTTGGGTTTTTTATTTTTTGGGATATTCATTGGTTTCGGATAAACTCACTACAAGAAATATCACAAAATAAAATCCATTTAAATATTTATGTTAGATTCGATTTGACTCAGATTAATTTTTAGGTCAATTTGGTTTGGACTTTCGAGTTCCATTTTCTTCACCCCCTGATTACATATATTAGAAACAAAATGTCAAATGTGTAACAAAGTGGATTTATAAAACTAGTCGAATATTTACACTTGTTGACAAAAAATTTGAGCTCTATTATCGATTTTTATTCACAAGGTTAATAAAATGTGTTAGAAAAAAAAAAAAATCTCTCAGTATCAACTAACATACATACCCAACTACACGCAATATTATTCTAATTTTCTCACAAATAATGTTTAAATGTCTTTTTAACTCTTTCTTTTTTTTTTTTTTTTTTTGACAACGAAAGGCTGATCTATTACTCAAGCTTGAGTTGGTCTAGGAATCCAGACCGGAATAAAACAACCAACATACATAAGATCCCGATAAAAGGGCCGGACAGTCTTAGCTAAATGATCAGACACAGTGTTTAGAGCTCGAGGAACGTAAGAAATCTTAAAATTTGGGAAACAAATCCGTAGTGTCGAGATCCGCTCCAGCTCCGTCGAAAAGCTTGGTCATCCGTGAGGATCTTTGAGCATTGCTATCAATTCCTTCCAGTACGTCCCAAAGCTCTTACATGGCGAATACCCTTTCTCTCTTTCTTTCTTATGTTCTTTGTTTAAAATGATTTATCACGTTGGTATTTATATAAAAAGATTGGGTGACACAATTGTTTGACCATCCTCTCTTTTGACTTCTCTATTTGGCATCCATCACGATGCAGTAATTAAAAAATAACAACACCACAACGTGCATCCTCATTGGTTGATCAAATAATACAATTATTAGCTGGACGTACGTGCATGTTACTTAACAAAAATGTATAAAACGTGACACACAAGAAAACCAAAAACAACCAAATTAGAAGAAAATGCATGTCTCCATCTCAAAGAGACGACCAAGAACATCCAAAAAGACTGAAACAGAGAAACACGAGAAATCACTTAAAGATCATCCTAACAGCATATGTTCAGTCTTCTCTAGTTTAGTTCTCTATCTTGTTCTCCTCACGATTCTTTTTCTCTTCTTAATTTCTCTTTGGTCAACTTCCACCACCGTTGTCTCCGGTAACGTCGTTCGTATTTGCATCTCTTCGCGGAAGCTCAACGATCTTTACTGTCTCACAGCCGGTTCTCATTATCCCGGTTTACGTGTACCGGTCAGCAATTTCACTAAACTGGTCAGTGAAAATATCACAAAGAAGGAGATTTCCACCGAAGAAGAACCATATAGATATATCGTCCCCAAGGATGAAGTCGAGGAGAGTGGTCTAAAAGACGTGAACAAGTATCTTAAGATACAAAGATCTTGGCTATCGATTGGAAACAACCAAAGATCTTGCAAAGGACAAGGTATATACGTTTATGATTTACCCTCTAAATTCAACAAAGATTTGCTGGGAGAATGCTCGGATATGTTTCCTTGGGCCAACTTTTGTAGCTACTTTAAGAACGATGGGTTCGGTGAATCGATTGAGGAACTTGGTGAACGCTGGTTTAACACACATCAGTATTCTCTTGAGCCGATCTTTCACTCTCGTGTTCTGAAGCATCCATGTAGAGTCTATGACGAGAACCAAGCCAAGCTTTTCTATGTGCCGTTTTATGGCGGTATGGATGTTTTAAGATGGCATTTCAAGAACATTTCTACTGATGTAAAAGATGTTTTGGCGATTAAGCTACTAAAATGGCTCGGATCGAAAAGTTCTTGGAGGAAAAACTCTGGAAAAGATCATGTTTTCGTTCTTGGCAAGATCACTTGGGATTTCAGGAGAAAAGAACATTATTCTTGCATCTCAAGTTTCCTTGAGATGCAAGAAATGAAAAACCCTACAAAGCTTCTCATTGAACGTAACCCTTGGGAGGTCATCGACATTGCGATACCCCACCCGACGTTCTTCCACCCGAGAACAGATGACGATATCTCTAGCTGGCAAAACAAAATCATCCGACAATCTCGCCGGAGCCTCATAAGTTTTGCCGGTGGAGCAAGACCCGGTAACCCTAAAAGCATCAGGTCAACATTGATTGACCAGTGCACTTCATCCCCAAACCAATGCCGGTTCTTGAACTGTACAAGTGGAGGGTGTAATAAACCGGAATTAGTTATGGAGCTTTTCCAAGATTCGGAGTTCTGTCTTCAGCCACCTGGAGACAGTCCGACAAGGAAATCGGTTTTTGATTCCCTTATATCTGGTTGTATTCCGGTTCTCTTTGATCCGTTCACAGCTTATTATCAGTACACGTGGCATTTACCGGAGGATCACCGGTTATACTCGGTGTATATCAACCAAGATGATTTGAAGGCAAACAAAGTGAATGTGATCAAGAAGTTGATGTCAGTGACTCTAAGGGAAAGAGAGAATATGAGGAGTTACATTGTTCATGAGCTTTTGCCTGGTTTAGTTTATGGAGATTCTAGTGCTAAGTTTCAGAGGTTTCGAGATGCTTTTGATATTACAGTAGATAGTTTACTCCATAAGATTTCAACAACATTGTAAGCTTGTTTTATATGAATTTCATTATCAGTTTCAGTTGTAGTTCATTTATTGAATATTGTTGTTAGGAATCTTCAAAGATGATTTTATTTCGAAGAATAATTAAAAGCTGTTTTAAAATGTTTCGTGCTTGGTGGTGATGACTTGTGAGTAGAAAGTTTAGTAAGATACGTTTTCTAACAAAACATTGTTAAAAAAAAAAAAACTTAGATGAATTAGAACCGAAGAATACATTGTCGGATATACATTACATATACAAAACTAGAACCGACGGAAACCACGATATCCATAGAAACAAAATCAAATGAAGCTCCATCAATGATATAAACCCCATCAAGAAAAACAACTGCAAGTTAACAATTAACTTTAACTAGCTTTTGACCCGCGCGCCCGCGCGGATGTATGTTCTGTATAAATATATTATTGTATTAATTGTAAAAAAAAGTTGATATTTATGTTTCATATGTTATTGAGTTATGATGTCGGTGTATCTTGTTCATTTTGTTTAGTGTCTCTTTTTTAACTATCAAGCTCTATTTTTTGATATCATAGTATTTTTTTTTTTACTTGGTAAACTAAACAATTAAGTGTAAAACTTTAAAGTATCTTTTGTATATTGTGTGTGTTTTATAAAATTATACTATAAATTTTCGGACTGAAATTATTATTTAAAATCAGATTTTATAGATATTTCTTTAAAAATAAATTATTTAGATAGCAAGAATTAAAAAAGATTCACAAAAAATAAAAGCTCTAGCAATTTTATTTACAATGATTATGTTCTATATAATCAAGATAAATTTTAGGTTCCGTTATGGTTTTGATATCGTACATTTTCTTACTTGGTACACTAAACCATTAAGTGTAAAATATTAGAGTATCTTGTCTAAATTGTGTGTGTTTTATTAAATTATACTATAAATTTTGTGATTGAAATTATTGTTTAAAATCAAATTTTATAGATATTTAAAAAAAAAAAATTATTTAGATAGCAATAATTAAATATATTCACAAAGTAAGAACTCCGGCAATTTTATTAACAGATGTCATTTTTAAAACTGAATTGGGCAATTTGATTTTGATTAAAATTAGTGGACCTTAAATCTATATTGAAGCTCATATAAGAGTAAAACTACCGTGTTTTATTGCAGTTGCATTTTATTGTAATTTTTTAGAAAAACTAAGGTTTATTTCTTTTTTGTACTCCCCTTTAATAGTTTAAATGAGACCAGTAATAAAATCTCAACTGACACGACTCTGTTTTGTCAGTTGAGATTTTGTTACTGAACTAATTCAACGCAACACTACTATTCACAATTTCACATAGTCACAGTGAAAGGAGAACCAAAGGGAGGTGCCAAGAATAAAGAGTTTGAAATCAACGATTAAACAAAAAATAAATAAGATTTGGAGAACACCATTGGACATATAAATTAGATTAAAATTCTTAATTATTCAAAGAAAAAAAAAATTAAAAAAATAGTTTAATATTAACTAAGAACTTCAATGGTGGTAACATCAGTAGAGTTGTTTTAACACACCTAATCTTCAACCTAAAAGTTTAATTTTCGAGGACTTGATCCTTACAAGAGATTTGTTTAACAAATAAAGATCTTGCGGTGACAAACAACATGAAAAGCCCAATTTTAAAAGCTCAAATAATAACGGGCCCATAGACTAGAGACCGCATTTTTCATGCCTTTCTCTCTTCTTTCGTCCCTCTCTCACTCATTTCTCCTGCTTACTTCAATGGCGACGAAAGATCCAGAATCTGTTTACGAGATAAGCATAGAGGTGAGCATATTGCTTACCTACCTCTTAATCAAAATATGTTTGCTAAAAAGAAGGGAAAAAAAAAACAGAGATTGCATCTTCATGTCCATGAATGCTTAGATTCTTAAGATGTCTGTCTGGTTCTGATAGAGGGAATATTAGTTGTTGTGTCTAAGATTGTTAAGATGGAAAAACCAAATATATGACAAATGATCTTTCACTGATGGACTCGTGTTACCTAAGTTCGGTTTAGGATTGCTTCGTGTTATTTTTTTTTTGTTTTGTCATAAGAATATGAAACTTATGTAATCAATTAAGATAATGACCGTTGATTGAACACTGCTTTGTCTTTTTGGTGTTGATTTCACAGATTGTTTTCTATGATATATCTGAATTGATTTCTTGTGTTACCTTCTTTATCTAAATAATCGCTATATCTCTTTTTCTTCTGCTTGCTTTGCAACAGGATGCAAATGGAAACAGCTTTGAACTCAGTCAATACAAAGACAAACTTCTTTTAATTGTCAATGTTGCTTCCAAATGGTTCAACTTTTTACCTTCTGAGTTTTTTTTTGTAATTTTGATGCTAAACGTTTGTTTATCTTTGTCTTGTTTATATGCTGATGATCTCAGTGGGATGACGAACTCAAACTACACCGAACTGAATGAGCTTTACAGCAAGTACAAAGACAAAGGTAAATTGATTTCAACCAAAAATGTCTTTAAGTCTCTTGTTACTTCTAGACGATTAGCTTGGTGTTGTTTCTGTTGCAAGGTCTGGAGATTCTTGCATTTCCTTGTAACCAATTTGGTGAAGAGGAACCTGGAACTACTGACCAAATTACAGAGTTTGTCTGTACTAAGTTCAAATCTGAGTTCCCCATTTTCAACAAGGTATACCGGTTATAGATTCTATTTCTTTATGTTGAAGTTTCTAAAACAATTGAACCTCATTGTGTTTAAGATTGAAGTGAATGGAGAGAATGCGTCTCCTCTTTATAAGTTTGTAAAGAAAGGCAAATGGGGAATCTTTGGGGATGATATTCAATGGAACTTTGCTAAGTTTCTTGTTGACAAGACTGGTCAAGCTGTAGAACGTTACTATCCAACTACTTCTCCTCTTACACTCGAGGTAAACAAACAATCTTTCTGTCTCTAAATTTCTCAACACTTTTTTTAAGCTCTTTGTGCTAATGCTATGTCTCATTTTTTTCTGCAGCGTGACATCAAGAAGCTTCTGAACATCTCCTGAATGGTGGTGCAGTCTGACTATATTGCTTGTTTTTGATAACTGTGTGTTTTGATCATCAACTTCTCACGTAATAAAGCAATGACATTGACATTGAGTTGAACAAATCAGAACTGGTTTCTCTAACAAATTAAGCCGGTTATCTAGATAAACAAGCATTGCCCTATGTTGATAAAGACATCAGAGTATTATAATACACAAAACAGGTCAATCATATGATTAGAGAATCATATTTCCTAAAACAACTACATACTGTGTTCTTTTAGGGAGGAAGAACTGAATAAAAGGTCAAACACCCACTTTAGCAAATCAAACCCAATGCGGTTTAATCAGTACATACCAAACCAAAAAGTCGAATCCAAAACTCAGACCAACACACAAATCAGTCAATACTAAAATTGGTTCCACTTAAGTTTCTATCTCTATAAAACAAATACTAAAGACTAAAGCATGAGTGCCTAAAAGAAAGTGTAAAAAAAAGGACTAAAACATGAATACAAGACCCCTGCTGAAGAAAACCAAGTTTTTGGTAACCACAAAGAGAGAGCTTTATCGAATAGATAGCTAAAAAATATCATTGAATAACCTGAAGAAAGGGGTCTTTCTAGTTGCTACATTGACAATGTTAGAAGGAACTCAGAGATCTGTCTCAATTCTCTGAGATTTCTGATTTAACATTCACAGACAAATCTACAACAACAAAGATATTTACAGCACCCACATTCTGTATGTTGCTGCTGCTTAACGAACTAAGTAGAAGTGGTAGTAGTAAATAGGAAGAAACATCAATATTCTTTGGTTTTGAATCATCCACGAGTCAAGTCAATATCAGTGAGTAGGTTTCTGCTAGAGTCAAGTGATCTGCCGGAGCCTGAGACTGAACCTTCCCCTGAACCAGGCCATCCACTCATTGCCTGAGCTGAGAAGTTCTGTGGCGTCTCATGAGCCACAGGTGCTGCTGCTTCTGATGCATCGGTCGGTGTTGTTTCCATTTCACTGTTGTTGTGCCCTTCCTTTGGTTCTTTTTCTTGTTTGATGGTCTTGTTATTGGTATTATTAGACTTTGGGACTCCACCATATACAAAACTACAAGCCACCACCTTCAAATAACAAGTAAGTTTGTTTCTGTTAATAGATATTACAAAATTACAAGATTTTAGATTCACTCTAAATCCTTAAGAAGAGGAATTCAAGAACCTGAACGAGGCTGGCTGCAATAAGCATTCCAATCCCACCGCCAACAACATGACCTTCAGGACCAGAAAGAGAGACACTCAAACCGCCTGTTCGAGTTTTGGATCCACCTTCTTCATTCACCAAATAAGATCCCCCTAAACTTAGAATCTCAAAACGTCCCTAAACACACACACATATGTAATGAAAATCATTAGTGTCCTATGTTTTGAGTTTCTTCGGTTACAGAATGAACGACTTTTAAACCTCATATGTCAAAGAAGCTTCTGTTGTAGCGGGTTGACGCAGAGTGACTGAAGACACTGTTCCAGTGCCTGACATTATACAAAGAGCTCGAGGTCTTTGCTGTGAAAATGACATAACTTTTGAAACAATATCCTGCAAGATAATAAAGGAAACAGATAGAGAATCTCTATAAATTTTCAGAATGTCAATAAACACAAACATTAGATTGAGAGGAATTTTCGAGAGTTTACTTCTCCTGCTTCAACACTGATGACATGAGGCGCAAAAGCAAGTCCAGCCGAAGTGTTCATCCACTCCCCTAAAGTAATCAACTCTTAATAAAAATTTATATTGACTAATCACATTCATTGACCAATTACTTATCTAAACACAGATTTAACCACACATGGCTCAGTCAAATTACTCTTTCACAGCTAATACTAACCATCAATGTTGTGTAGCAGTTACTGACTTACCACAGAATCATCTACAGCTTGTAGTATTCAGAAATTGACCTATGTATATAAGCTCATGCTCTCCACAATGTAAATTAAAAAAGCTTGACATCTCACTTAGACTAACCACACCAATTACTAATCCAAACACACATTAGAGACTAGACCACACATGGATCAGTAAATTAACAGTAAGAAACAGACATACTCTAACTTTAGTTTGACAATAAAGAATCATATAGCTTCTAAACTTTCATCTAATTATAAGATCCAAGCTCATATTTTTTTTCACAAATGTAAAGAACTCACCAAGATTAGCTAAACGTTGCTTCCTTCCAGTACCAGGAGGTCGACCTCTGGCTCGTTTAGGAGCATTTGGATCAGTCATGGCAGAAGAGTCCTCCTTAGCTTTATTACCACCAGAAGAAGAACAAGGCATAGGAGAAAGCCCTAAAGAGACTTGACCTTCAGGAGGAGCATACTTCCTCGGCCGTCCACGTTTCTTCTTAACCAACGGCTGCTCCATCGGCGGCGGCTGCTGTATCAAAGGCGGCTGTTGCTCCACCGCAGCAGAAGAAGCCATCCCCATGTGAATGCTGTGTCCGAAATCAGAGTGTCTTTGCTCAGACATGGAGAAATGAGCACCCGGGTTGTTAGCTTGAGGATGATGAACGTTAGGGTTTGGCATTGGCCTCATCCCCGGATGAGGAGGAGGCGCGTGGAGTCCACTCGCGACTTGGGAAGGAGAGAAATTCGTGAAGGCTCCTCCTCTTGGGAGATAGTAGTGAGGATGAGAGCCTGGAAATGACATTGCTTCTCTTCCCTCCATGCATCTAAAAACCTTAAATTTACTAATGGGTTTTCTCCTTTTAGGTGAAAGATTGATACTTTTTGATGAAGAACAGAGTATACACTACCCAGAAATTGTGAAACCCTAATTGCCCAAAGTTAGTGAAGAGAACCCTAGAAAGAAGCTAAATCTTGAGCTCCACTTTGAAGTAGAAAAGTGATGAGAGACTAAGACAAGAGGAGAAAGTAGCTCTCTTCCTACTGTTACGGTCTATGAGAGAAATGAAATCTCAAAAGAGAAAAAAAAGGTAGATTTGATTTTGAAATCTAGGGTTGAAAAACGCAAATGTACATCTGAGGAGAGAAGACAAGAGAAGATGACAGAAGAGAAGAGAAAAGAGAGAGAATGGTTTTATGTTTTTTTTTTGTTTTATAAATACAAATAATGAAGTGAAGCTTTTGAGTTTTTAGGCCTTTCTGAAAGTTGGAAGACTGAAGAAGAGAGGAGAATGACTACCACTGTTTTTTTTTTCTTTATATATTTCTTTATTACTCTATAATTTATTTATTAAATTTGTTTGTTTTCGAATATTTTTATTGGAAAGCATATGAACTTTTGTTTCTTGATTTATATAACAAAACTAGTGTCGCACTGGAACTGAATATGAAATTTAGTCATTCAGGCAAATATTCATTAATATTTAATGCCTTTCATGTACAAAATATTAAAATGACATGCTCATTTCTGATAGTTATATTGAATAACAATAAGAATATAGTTATTTTTCTTAAAAAGCAACAAGAGTTTATTATAACCTAAACCCTCTCCCTATATAATGTTATTTATCCGTAACAAAATATTTTAAAGGACTATAATAAACGCAGTTACAAAAGAGACCTTTAATACAAACTCAAAATTTTATGCTCTTAATTACTTTGATGTTTTAACAATTAGTTAACTAATACTACCTCCTTTTTGTTTCTTTTGGTCAAACACCTAACATACTCTTTTTTTTTGGGCAAAATTTTTTTTTTTTTTTGGGCAAACACCTAACATACTCTTTTTTTTGAACAAACACCTAACATACTCTTATTGCAAGATTTAGATACAAAAAAAAAAACAAAGCGACTTTTATTTTGGTTCTTAATTAAAAAAGAGGATGGATGAGCGAAAGATGTGTTGTTGACTAAAGAGAGGAGAGGTAAGGGGACCCATTTGAAAAGAGACAAGAAGAGAGAGGATGTATCTTTCTCTCTCACATGTCTGAATCACTTTGCTTTTTCTCTCTTTTGCTTCGGACAGTGAGCCCTCTCTTCTAACTTTATTTATTTTCTTTTTTTTCTTATTCGTCTTTTTCGTTTACATTTTCTCCTTTCGAGTTTTGAAAGTTATTTGAGAAAGAACCTTCAAAATATCATATTCAACTAACATAGTATTAAACTATTTGTATATCATAAAAACTTCAATTTGGCTTTCTTATTCATCAAATAAAGAAACTATCTTGTTTAATCCATTCTTTTATTTTTTAGTTAAGAAAATAATCAATAAATAATTTTTTTTGAAAAATCAGAAACACTAAAAAAGCGAAAAAAAATTTTGAGTAAAGATTTTAAAATAAATAAAATCTCTATCTTTTTCTGAAAATAAATAAATAATTTTAATATATTGTCTTTAAAAGTGATAATTATGGACAATCAAAATTAACAATTAAAATTCAATATTTAAAAAATTCAAATAAAATCTCCAAAATATTCTGTGAAGGTTATATAATTTGAAAATATTACTTTTAAACATGATAATTTTTTACATACCACACTTAACAATAACCTTTTTAATTATATTATCAAAGTGGTAATGGTATAATTCACCACTAACAACTGAAATAAAACTCAAAATTATTTGAATCTTTAACAATAAAATCGGATCATCCTTGATGATAATGGTTTCTTAGATACTAATAACAACAATGACAGTTTATAAATATCACCACTAACAATATAATTTTAGACATATCGCCATTAACAATGACACTTACTATGTCAATGATAGTGCAATATTTTTTACAAAACAAATCTGAAAATTTTAGAAATTTTATTTTATTATATTGTTAGTACTGATATATCTAAAACCGTTGTCACTATTGCTATTGTTAGTAAGTCGGATACTATTACCTCAACTATTATTTCAATATCTAAGTGTCACCGTCTTAAACAATATTACAAAAATTGTTATTGTTAATGGTGATATGTTAACGAAAATATGTTCGAAAGGATTTATTTATTTTTGTTCAAATTCGAAAGTATTTATTTTTTTCTGAAAATTTTAGATACTTTTTTCATTTTCTTAAAAATTATTTTTTAAAAAAAAAAATTGACAGTTTTTTTAAATTATTATTTAAGTTCTTTTTTTTAGATTTCTTTAAAGTTTTCTGTTTAGTTTTCTTAATTTAAATTTATTTTTCTATGTTTAAATCATGTAGCTACACAAGTCAGTGTTTCTGCTTAATAAATAAGTAAGCCAAAAATTTTAAAATTATGATTTAAAGTCAAATTAATGATTTAATATGTTAGCTAAATAAATTTGAAGTTTAAAGTATAAGTAAATGTCAATTTGAAAGTTTTTTTATATCTTTTCCAAATAATAATATATTGAGTTTCACATATATTGAAATTTTGTATGACAACAAAAAAAATCCCATAATTTGTTATGTTGTACAACTTAAAGTATTTATTAAAATAATAACCTTTTAAAGGTAGTTGAACCAAAAAATACAATCGTGTAAAGGGTTTTGTAGAGTCTTGTAACTAAAATTATTGTAGAAATAAAATTCTTCCAAATAAATAAAGTATTTTGAGATTTTGTTTTGCTACATCTCAATCTATAATTCTCTAATTAATATTCTCAACAGAATTAATTCTCAGTCCTTAATCTTTACACAAACAGTTGAAAAAAAATCTTCACACTAACTTGTTTTGTCAACAATATAAACTTGACTTCTGAGAGCGAAATAAAATAAATTTGACCTTTTTTCATCTTTTTGGCCAACTTTCACCTAATTAATGTGCCTTGTCTTTTGTTTTGTTTATTACTTCAGCGATTTTCCATCAAAGATCACACAAATTCCAAATATTTTCGAGGCCGACCACTACGGAACTTGACAAATTTAATATTCCCTCTGTTTCATTATAAGTGTCACTGTACAGCTGTGCACACGAATTAAGGAAACAATTAATTTTACATATTTCCTATATAAAAACACAATTACCCGTACACATAACAATATTTTAACCAATAGAAAAACAAATTACATAATAAAATTAATAAATTTTGCATTGAAAACCGAAAACGACACTTATTTTGTAACGCAAAAAAATCTCTACAATGACACTTAATATAAAACGGAGGGAGTACTTCTCTCACTTGAATGCATATACACAAATAATTTCAGTAAAAAAAAACATACACAAATAATCCATTTAACATTTTTAGAACTTGGAAAACAAAACGAAAGAAAAAGAGAGTATGAATCGCAATAAATGTAGATTTACTAAAATGGAAGAGGAGTGTTGAAGTAGGCTTTCAACTTGAGGATGGTGTCTGCGAAAGGTACAAATAATAAGACTCTATTTCTATGAAATTGCCGTAGTTAATAATGCTCCACATACATATATATATATACACACACATTATACATGTATATTCATAGAGGGAATGATGTATTTGGTTGTGGGTCTGTGAAACATGATGTCATCAACTCAAAAGTAAGTCTCTTGCTTGTAAGGAAAGTGATCTCAACTGTTGCTTTTATATTTTCCTTCTGATGTATTTTGTGGGGATAGAGAGATGATTCTCTTCACACGCTGTGGTGGTCCGGATATTTCTGATCCAGTAGTTGCTAGAGATTTATAAAAGTTTGTAGTATTCATCAAATATCAACCAAGTTCATTCACGTCAAACAAAAAAAAAAAAATCAACCAAGTTCATTATATACCCAAATTTGTTTGGAAATTTTCTAAATAATTCAAACCACTATTCCAATGATATTTCATAGAACTACAAATCAATGGTGAATCAGTGGCACAAATTCTGAATCACAACAACAGAAAAATTTACAGGATATAAAAGTATTAACCTATAACAACAACTAACATCATCTTTGAATTTAAAACCTTACATGTGTTGTTTAGTTGGTTCGACTGGTGAATGGGGTTACATTTTGATCATTGTTAGTTATCAATCTGAAAATGTGGTAAAATTTGAAGTCCAAAAACTTTTTATGCTATCAATTTTCCAATGGAAACATTACAACAAAGAGTAAACTGAGAAAACCTATCTAAAATTGAATGAATAAATTAAATTGATTTATATCTTAGATTCTTCAGAAGTTATTTTGGTTCTTCAATGAAAAACCAGGGAAGAATATGAACCTGAGGACTCCGTTTAGCCACTCTTTGGACGCGTTTTCGACTTTTCCACTGCAAATTATCAACCGCTGAATCAGTCGCTGAATCAGTCGCTACTGCCCTGGCCGTCTATGGCTCAGTAACGGTGTCTTTAGCTCCATTGATCTATTAAATACAAAATCAATCAAACAAATGAATTCAGAGAAATGGGAAGACTTGGGTTTATGTCAGTAATAATCCTCGCAGAACCCACATGACAAAGTAGCTTTTGATGGTTACTTAAACTACTGAATGAAGCTAAGGTATAGAGGCGTCAAGAGAGTGTGCTCTAACACATATATCATAGGTGAACAAAAATGTTTGTGGCAATATATTTGGATGGCAAAGAAACAAACTTGAGGGGATCAATATGCGGAGAGGATTCTGCTGGACAGCAAGCGGAGCAGACATAAGCCTCAGTCCGCCAATGAAGTTTAACACAATAGGTGTGATACCATTCCCCACACTGACTACAAGAAACCATGGATCTTGAGTTGTATGGCTTTAGACAAACGCAGTGTAACATACTTCGAGCTCGTAAGGACTGCATCAATCAACCATGATACAAACAGTTTTAGATAAAAGTGAAGGTTGTCTTGTGCTTATTAACATTTCATTTCTTCCTAACCTGAAGTTCTTCCTCCGCAATGACAGGCAAATTTTCACCCTCACAGATAAGCTTGAATACATCTTCCAAGGGAAGAGCACCCGAGTCTATCACAACCTACAGATAAAACCAAAAACTCTTGTTAAGCACTCCAAAGTTGTAGCAAGCAATTTACTAAGAAAATGTGTGTTGGTTGGTCATGTACTTTTCTAGATCATTTTGCCCAGTCTAGTCCGGTGTCTTTTAGCTCCACAAGTCTCTTGCCTAAGTAATAATCTTTAGGAAATATTTTCAGTGTTTGTCCCTGTCAAGAAGCAAAGGCCAAACTCATTAACCAGATCATTGTGGTGCCAAACTATTTATTGAAATAAGGCATCTCAGTATGCGTAGGAAGTTGATATATAATCAGAACATACCGCTTCTAAGTGCTGCTGAATTTTCTGTAATGAGGGTTTTCCTAGATCTGCTGGTAGCTGCCATTTTAAGACGCACTTAAATAATCAAAAGGGGTACGCAACCACAATTATATCTTGAACACAAGTGTCAATACCAATTAAAATCCAATGCTCTGTTTGTACCTCAGAGGAAGGTAAGCTAGAGCCCAACGAGATGGTCTTACAACATCATCCTAGCTTTAAACTTGCAGTGTGAAGTCTGGGAAGTTCTTCCAAATTAAGGCCAAGCGACATACCATATGTTCTAGCATTTCCCACTCTGGTTATTAAATCCATAAGCTTCGGAAGGATCGTGCTATGCTTGCCATCATCGGTTTTCGCAGTATCCAACAAATCTTCAGTTTCTTGCAAGAGCTGATGATTATCACGCTGCCACCTCTCGCAATCAAGCAAAAATGTTTCAAGAATCATTGGCTCTTGAAGTTGAACACTAAGCGATTTAGACCGAGCAACCAGGTCCTACAAAAATGAAAGCAGTGAATACTCTAAAATCACATGTTACAAAAAAACAGAAACCAGAACAAGCACAGTAGGCAGACAAACCTTAAATGCTGGAAGTTCAAGTAGAGAACACCCGGATGACGCCGCAGAGGCAGCTGCTGATAAAAAAGGCTCAGAATCCCGAAGCCAAGTTTCAGCCAACGAAATTGTGTTTTCTATGGCCTTCAGAGAGGGCAAAATGGCATCAATGTTGACAGACATCCTACGATCAACATTTTTTTTATGAACAAAAGAATTAGGAAATACTAAGCATGTGCTGGGTTAAGAAAATATACCTAACAAGATCTTTAAGGTCGTACATCTGAGTTTCACTAGCAAGGATACTGATTGCTTTTTCCTCCCAGCACCTCGCTGTTGACAAAGTTTCGGAGACCTCAACAAATAACTTCTCCGCCTCGATTTGAAGTCTGGAAAAAGAAAGTCTTGGCATGAAACAAAAATGGAGTAGGATGCATATTACATATTCTTGAATAGAATATTAATGGACAACGTACTCTACAGCTTCCGAGAGTAGCTGCTCAATAAAATCCAGAGACGTTCTTGCAGCATAAACCTACATATATATAAGAAGCTGGATCAAAGCTATGAACCACAGAAAAAGCACTGGGAACATGAAACCTAGTGGCTTTTTCTAAATATAAAACAAACTTCCATGCATTTTACATTTGACATCAAAAGAAACAATGCAAAGAATTAAAAACTGTATTCAGAGTATCTTGATAATTACTCAAGACGAATAAGAGATACAAATTATTATTATTTTTTAAAGAGAACATTTACCGTTTGCGCTTTTTCCTGAGAAGATGCCTTCTTCAATTCAATCTCAACAAGAGGAAGTCCTTCAACTACTTCAGATACAGCAGTTAGGGCTAAGTTATGACCATGCATTACAGCGCAAGATAGGTGGGAACAAGATAAGAGACAATAAAAAAATGTCTAAGTATAAATGTAAGACCTTGAATGCCTAAGGATGCTCCATCCTGGAGAAGGGAACTCAGGTCACTGATTGGCTTTCGTTGGTCCTTGCCTTCACGAACATCAATCATTGTATCATTAAAGCGTGAAATCCAAGACAAAGCATCAACATGGTACTGCCTCAGGATATTCAGCTCAGGAATGTTAATGCTACAAAGACCATCGAATTCATGCACCAACTCTTCAACATTCTATGCACAAAAGAAACAAATGACTTCAGAAAGGTCCGACAAAAGTGCAAGTTGTTAACCACTTAAAGATACAGAACAAAAGTACAGCCAACCTTGAAAAATACAGAACCACTCAAAACTTTGCTACATTTATCACGGGCTAGTTCCGATTTCTTTAACAAATCCAGGATCTCTTATGTTTCTGTAAGTGTTACCTGAAGCTCCAATATCTATTAAGGGAAAAGAACGATTAAAACACATGAACAAGTGACAGAGTTATCATTTTCAGAGTAAGAATAACATAGTGACCTCGACTTTAGCTTGAAAAGTTCATCCAATTCAATTCCAGGAGGCTTTGAATCGGAGACAGAGCAGCTCGCTGTGAGGGGTAAAACTCACTTCCTAGTTTAGGTTAGGTATAGATTGGGAAAAGATAATCGTGGGCTGAATCCTGTTGGAACTTGTATGAATGAATACGTTGTTTATATTGATTTTTGGTAATAAAAGAGTTTACAAAGATGATCTTTTTGATCTGAATAGAAAGAACAATGATTTATAGAGAATGACTAAGAACAAAG